CAGAATGCCAGGCAATATATGAGGAGTGTCCATAAGGTAATAAGACTGAACTTTACTTAACTGTTACCATACAAATCAGAGGAAGATGGCTGTGAAAAAGAGATGGAGGGTAAAGGTGGAGGGAAGGCAGTCTAATTTCTCAATGGTAAGGGTTTTCTGCTCTCCTTTCCTGTCCCTGCTGGATCTCTCCAGTCAGGGGAACAGGCATGCCTGTCTTGTTCTGGGTGCAGTGAAATTCCTATCAATTACCCAAACTCCAAGCCTTGTTTCCTGAAGTTACTATTCTAGGGTGGGTTTGCCAATTCCTGTTCAATATTCCAGCCTCCACATGAGTCATGTATACCTGTTTAATCATTTACTTCTCATAGGTGCCACCATTCCTCATTTTACAGATGTTAAATTTGATGAAGATTGTATAACTAGTAGATATTGAGATTATGTAACTAGTAGATATTAAGTCTGATTAATTCCAAAGCCTGCTCAGCCTAGGTGTGCACGCACCTGTCTCCTCAGCACCTGGGAGGGTCAAGGCCTGTCTACATAGATTTCTAGGGCTGGAGAGATTGATCTCTAGACGAAACTTGGCTGGAAGTGTTCAAAAATGAAAGTTGCTATACTGTAGATTTGAGCAGCAAGAGTGGTTCCTCATAAGAGCTCCAATACTGCTGTGTCCCTAGTTTATTGATAATTGCTAATTTTAGAACTCTGATCATTCTAACAATAAAAGTGGGAATGGGTACTGCTATTGCTACATGTGTTTCAAGGATAATCTCTGGTAAATCTGGGAAATAGTTTGGGAATTGGAAACAGAATCCTAATAAATAGGCACTTTACTCAATCTTCAACCTACTTTCCTCCTCTTCCTCACCCCTGCTCCAAGGCAGTGTGGTGGTTTTTGTAGCAAGGCACACAATGAAATCCCAGTCCAATCTCCTACAGCTGTGTGACCTTGGCAAATCACTTAATCTCTCTGAGTTTACTTTTCTTCTAATGGGGATAATTCTACCTGTTTCATGGTTATATGCTCAGATTAAAGAAAAACTAAGCACACAGAGAGCTAGCACATGGTCTGAAGTGAAATAGGTGCTAGAACACATTTGCTTCTTTTCCCCAACAATGGTAAGTGGCAGAATTAGGAATCAGACTGAGATCTTCTGGATTTAAATCCAGTGTTTCTTAGACAAAATGTTGCTGTAAATAAAAGGACAAATAGCTGTCTTTGCTATGAGGCAGGCTGCCATTATTTTCCCTGATTATTAATCCTCACAACAGTCTTGTTTTGCAGGCAAGGAAATGGAAGCTTGGCAAGGTGAAATGAATTGGCCAAGGCCCAGAGCTGGTCATGGCAGAATCAGGAATCAAACGTGTATATGAACCCTATGACCCAGGCCCTCTCTGCTGTCTGGGCTGTCTCCCCAGTGAGGGCCACCTGGAATATTGAAAAAGTATCACACTCACTGAGAACTTTAGGGACAGCTTCAGTGGCAGCTGACTGCTTCACAGTTTCTCAGAAGCCTTCTATATTCCTAGCAGCAGAGCTACTTCACTATAAAATTATAACTGTGAATTTGAGTTGTGATACCCCCAATTTTCCTAGGACCCAGATTTCCTCAGAAACCTAAATATCAAAGGTTCCAAAAGTACCAGAAAAGCAAAGGACACTTGAGGCCAATGACCATCATAAGAAGAAAAACCCTGTCCCTTAACTTTAGCATGGAGACCTGCCAAGATTTAGGGTAAATCCATTCATTCCTTTGGCTTACCAGCAAGAGACCAAATGCTGTCTCTTTTGTATTCAACAAATTGAATTTGAATACTAGCACTGCTTTACATGAATATGAATATGAATGTTTTGTGTAGATTACACATAAATTTTATGTCAACTGAGGTAATCTAAATACTATTCCTAGTAATTAGAATAGAGTGCATTGATTTATCCACTTCAACAGTTATCAGGCCTTGAAAAGAGCCTTCAGTCTCCATAATCACACAGGCCCTTTCAGGGAGTCCTGCCCAGGCATTCTGTTTACCCCACTTGTTTATCTGTCCTATGTGGAGCCTCAGAAAGCTGAGATGGAACACAAGATGAGCCTGAGGGCCAGATTACTTTGGTTATTGTTTTTCAGTGCTTACATTCTATTATCTGGTGAGTTTTAATTTTTCAAATTGAGTATTCTAGGCACATGATCTCTGTAATCAATGGTCCTTCTCTATATTTCAGCCCACCATAGTGAAACCTAACTTTGAGGTTAAAACTTGATTCCCTGCTTTTGCTGGGGCCTGTGTTTGCAGGTTTCTGCAGATGAGAAGTGTTGCCACAGACCTCAGCAGCTCACTGTCAATTTCTTCTTTCTGGGTTCTTATCTCGTAAATTTAAAGAATGAAAACCACAAACCAGGACCAGTGAGTGTAAGAGTAAGATTTATTGGAGAATAGAAGAAGGAACAGAACTCTTGAAGTGTAGGAGGGGACCCAAGAGCAAGTTTTCTTGTGCTAGTCTACGGGTTTATATAGCACGTGGGTCACTGCTGTTGGTCCAAAAATATGATAATTAGGGTTTGGAAAAGTAATACTATTGGTTATCCCTGAATCCCATTCAGGTTTGCCTTACTTACATTTTCTCCCCTGGGAAAGCAAGAAATTGAAGTCATTTAATTGTGCCTGCTCAGTGGGGGTCTGGAGCTGTAGAGCTGTGGGGAGTGGTTGATTATACTGGGTCCAGGCAGAGCCATGGTGGTATGACAGATCAGTGTACCTTGGCTCAGCATGGCGCTGGACCACCCCGCCTCAGGCCTGCTGTGCTTCAACCCCACACTGGCCTGGCAGGCTCCAAATGGCTGTGACCCATGCTTGGCACCTGCACTCTAGCCCTCTATTCTGTGGCTCTGCTGCTCCACCCATCCCCTGCCACATCTTGGCAGGGATCAGTGGATTGGCTGCCCAGCTTGGTGGCCAGGAAGCCATGCCAATAATATGACCATATCTTTTAAAAGTCAGCTAAAATATCACTTTCTTCATGTGGATTTTTCTGATCCTAGAGATGTTTGGGTACTTCATCCTGTGAAGTACTTCAACACTTTGTCCATCCTGACCTTATGTGCAAAATTGATTTCTTATACTCCCAATAAATCTCTCAAGGTCATGCTGAAACCAGAATTTGAGATGAACCTGATTCTTTGCTTCTGCTGGCAGGTAGGTCCATGTAAGCTGTAGGCCTCTGCAGCCTAGAAAAGCCCCTTTTAGTGTTAGTGACTAATCATAGCAGGGAATGCCTGCTGGCATCAGCTTCAAGGGTCACAGCCAGCAAAGCCTGATTCTTCTCCACTGATATGGAGTGGCTGTTGCAGCTCTTAGTGTTGCAGCTCTAAATGGTGGTTAAGCCCTCCAGTGTTTCAGGAAACAACAGCAGAATGAAATTCATGTGACAACAGAAGGCAACAGTGAAAGGAATAGGATTTATTCAAGTGTGAAGAATGGAAACAGAGCTCCTAAAGGGGTAAAAGGGGATCCCATAGTATGTTGGTGCTTAAATGTGTTAGTCTAGGGGTTTATATGACATTGAGTTAATACTATTGGCCCAAATTTATGCCAATCAAGATTTGGAATAGTGCCAATGCTATTGGCTAGCCCTGCAATCCTGTTCAGGTCTGCCCTGCTCCCATTTTCCCATAGCTCATCAGAAGTGGGAGGCTGACGTTCTTGGATGGACTGCTAGTACTGTGTGGAGTGGGCATCTTCACTGGCCTGGGCCTTAATGCCTCAGGCAAAAAAGGTTGGTGAGCCCTGGCTTACCTCAGCCCTGGCTTGCTTCAGGTTCATACTGGCCCATGCTAGCTGTTCCACCTCCAGGCTTCCTGAGCTGCTACCTCACCACTGCTTCTGGGGTGGGGAGTAATGGGGCTGGCTGTGTGGCTCAGCTGCCAGGGAACCATGTATATCGCATGTCCCATTCATCTTGTTCTCTCAGGATGTTTTATATCCTTGCATATAATAAGTGTTCAATAAATAGCCAAATCAAAAACCAGGGGACTGAAAAAGTCCCAATCTTATATTTCAGAGTGAGAGATTTAATACTTCTAGTCTTGCTTAACTCACTGGACTGATTTCCTGCTAGTTATTCTTCAGGAACATTCATGGATGTGCTGTTTCCTTAAGTCTCTAGGACTATGCCTAGAGTTAATTTTGGGTAAAATTATTTCCTTTGGATGTTAGAGGAGTTGGGGAACTAGATATGGTACCATCATTGTATTCTCTTCAGAGCGAACAGGACGATCGCTGAGAAAAAGAAAATATAGCACATGGGAAGTGCTGAAGCTCAGATGCAAAGCCAACTATGGGACTCAGGTCTCTTTTGAGACAGGGTCTTGCTCTCTTGTCCAGTCTGGTCTCCAACTCCTGGGCTCAAGTGATCCTCCTGCTTCAGTCTCCCAAGTAACTGGGACTATAGGCATATACCACTGTGCCTGGCTACTGTAACTCCTTTTTGTTTTTTAGTTTTAAGTTTCTTTAATTCTTGTTTAACTATACACTTGGTTTTTTAAGTCTTATTTTTTTGGTTCTTTTTCACTATACACAACATTAAGATTCAGTTTGACATAATTATAGAACATGGAATATAATTTACTCTAATTCAGTTCCCAGTACTTCCCCTTTCCGTCCCCTCTTCCCTCCCTAGTCTCCTTCCCTCTATTTTACTGATATTTCTGCTATTTATAGTTTTTTTTTTCCAAATTAGTGTCTTGTGAATGTACATTGATGGTGAGATTCACTGTGGTATATTCATATATGTACATAGGGAAATTAGGTCAGATTCATTCCACTGTTCTTCCTCTCTCTCCTTAATCTTCTTCATTTAGTTCACTGATTTTTCTTCTATTTTGATGGAACCCCATACCCCTCTTTACTCACTCTCTCAGTCTCTTTTCCCCCTTATTTTGGACTAGCTTCTGCATATCAGAGAAAACATTCTAAGGTCTTTCTCTTTGTTGTTGTTATAAACATATATTATGGAATGCTTCACATATTTGCATGTCACCCTTGCACAGGGGCCATACCAATCTTTTCTGTTTCAGTCCAACTTTAGAATATGTGCTGCTGAAGTGAGCACTCTAAGGACTTACTCTTGATGAAGACCCAGCACTAAACCTGATCTCAAGAGAATTAAGGACTCAAATTCTTCCATGGATGTAGTAAAGGTCTTGGCAGTTGGAATTTTGTCTTTACTCTGATGCCTAGGCTTAGAAACAAACCAACAAAAAAGTCAATTTTTAAAAATGAGTTGGTTCTTTAAACTTCTAAAGAGAAACTAGCCAAGATATGCTTGTCTGGAATGAGGTAAGAGGAGAGAGTGGCACAATGTTTTGATGAGTCTTCCAATGAGCTTTCTGGGCCTTCCTCTCACATCTTGGTCATTTCTTGCAGATGGCTAGGGGTCAGTGAGTCCTCTTGATATGGAAGAAAACAGCACTTTCAGTAATTAGTGAACCATATTGTGGAGGCACCTGGTTCCAAAATCACTCACATCAACAACCCCAGGTCATTCAGCCATTGATTTACTCAGGTCACATCTGCAAGCCATAATGATTTTTCTCGTGATATTTCTTTTTTTCTTTTGTAGTTGGACACAATACCTTTGTTTTATTTATTTTTATGTGGTGCTGAGAATCAAACCCAGCCCCTCAGACATGCTGAGTGCTCTACCACTGTGCCCCAGCCCCTCTTGTGATATTTCAAGTGGTAGTGTCCACCTTGGCCTAAGGAATCAGAGTCTGATCTGCTAATCAGAGAAGATTGACTAGATTGGCATGAGTCATGCTGCCTCTATGCTTTTGTCTTTATTTCAGCTCTAAACTCTGTACACTGAGACTGGAATAGCCAGTGGATCATGAGGGTCAGGAGACTGGGGCGATCCAAGGTGGTGGTAAGACTCCAGGGCATGAGCCTGCTCATGAATTATGGCCAAACCTGACAGTGGCTTAGGTGGGGAAATACATCCCACATAGAAGAAAAGCATGGAGCCAAGACTTGCACTGCACAAGCCCAGTTAGCTTTGATGGGAGGGCAACATTTATGGAATCACAGAATATTAGATCTGAAAGGTATATTAGAGCTGGTTTGGTCAGGTTCCTCCCTTAACAGAAGAGGAAAGCAGGATCTATACATGATGGATTGGCTCTATCACAAGTGGGGCTTAATAGTGAAGTAAAGGCTCTTATCTAGGATGATGGGCAGTGGCAGGGTGGCAGGCAGAGTGGGGCATCAGATTTGATGGGCCTGGTTTAGCAGAGCCACACTAGACACCAGGAGGACTGCAGGTGGTAGTTCCATGGATGTGTGAATCTTCCCTAGGTTTCTTTAAGAGATATCAGAAGGGAAAGGGAGAAACCAAATGGATAGTGCTATTAATAGAGCCAACTAAGGACAGCTTCCTCAGAAATTTCCACCTGTGAGTGCTAGTTTATAAACCAAAATTTTAACCTACCCATAGGTGAAGCTTGGAGCACTTATGTTATATCACTGTTCAAAAGACTTGGTGAACTAATATATTCAGAGACTGTACCAGGCCTTAGAAATGCATCCGATCAATGTTAATCACAGAATATAGGTAAAAAATAATGATTATAATTCAGTGTGGCAAGTATAATGGAGGATTATAAGAAAGATACAGGACATTGAACTTAGTCTGTAAGGAGTCAAGAAACTAATGAGAATGTGATGCTTAGACCAAACTTTGGAAGATGTGAGGATCAATTGGCCTTGGCTACATGATGAGCAGCAGTGGTGAGAATGGGGAGGGCATGTGTAACAGAGAGAGCAGATTAGCTCATTTTTTACAGTATCCTTTTGATTCAGCTTCCTGAACTACAAAAATTAGGACTTCAAAAACAGTGTTTGTAATTTCCTCTTGCAACTAGTTAATGGAGATAATTAAAGCTTCACTAGAGGTTAGAATTAGGAACAGAGTTGAATGGGAGGAAGTGGGTAGCATGAGAGGCCTCCAACATGCTGGTGGATCCACCAGAAGCACATGGCTCAGAAGCCAGCAGGCACTGTGTCTTACTGCTCCCCAGATCATGGCAAAGGGTGTGTGACTTCCAGACTCTGAACAGAGCAGCAGGGAGGGGATGGTCCCCATATCAGAGGAGAAAAAAATGCCTTCAGAGAATATCTGGGTGGAGAGGTCTAGAAATGAGTTGAAAATAGACTTTAGTAATTCCAGAGCACAGGTTGGAGTAAAGAGTTGGGGTCCAGCAGTGTGCCATAGGTAAAGTGTGATGACATCACTCAGCAGATATGTGCAATTCATTTTGCAATGAAGTAGGTCAAGGGAGGTATCTGTCCCATTGAAGAAAAAAACTTTTTGGAAATAATTTGATATTTACTGAAAAGATTCAAGAGTAGTACAAAAAACACTCACCTGTGCTTTACCCACACACCTAATGTTAACATTTTGTCCCATTTGCTTTAGCCTTTGCATGCACTCTTTGCACATACATATTTTTTATGAACAGAGAGTAAATTGCATATATCATGTCTTTTATCCTTTAAAGCTTCCATATTTCCTAAGAACAAAGATATTTGCTTAGATAACCAAAGTACAGTTAGCAAGGTCAGTAAATTTAGTATCTATATAATTCTATAATTTACCATCTTCAGTCCAATTTATTTATTTATTTTGGTGCTGAGCATTGAACCCAGCTGCATTCCAATTTATTAATTAACCCAATAATATCCTTTGTAGGATTTCCTCCTCTATGATGATGCCAAATAACCTATAAATGTTGTGGATCAGGACTCAGAATTTGGAGTTTTGTTTTCCTCTGGGCCCATCAGCATAAAATAAAGTTTGGAGTTCTCCTCTTCAAAAAAACCAAAATAAAGCAAACACAAGGGCTGAGGTTGTGTGTCTCAGTGGTAGAGCACTTGCATAGCATGTGAAGCACTGGGTTCAATTCTTAGCGCACATATAAAAAAATAAAAGTCCATTGACAACTAAAAAATATTAAAAAAAACCCAAAAATTATTTTGGTGCTCAAATTTCCCCAGGTTTTGTGAGTATGACTCTTGTGTTCTTGTCACATGCCTCCATCATTTTGGGGAGTCCTTTCTTACTTTCCAGCATAAATACATGTTTCTGGCTCATCTCATACTTTCTGTCCCCCAGCCACGAAATCACCTGTTTGTCCAGAGAGCCCTGACTCCTTCTAATAGTGATTAGTATTTGAAACCAAAATATGGACACTGTATGAGCACACTGCTAGTGAGGTGTCTTTGTTTACAGGTACTTATAGTGAACAGAACTAGGAAATGTGTGCATGTACTGTATATATACATGTATATACATATGCTTCCCTATAGCTATATACATACACATTTTAGAAACCATGAATTTATGAATTAAGAATATCTACAATTCTAACCTACTTCTATAGGGCTCTTCTTTACCATCTCTCATTCTGTATTTGGATTTCATTGCTTCCATAGCAGGACCCCTGAGATGGAGTCCTTCAGTGTTTCATTAATATTAAACATCTCATTAACAGTTAAAAATTAGGTAGTGAAAATACATAGAGACAGATGTGGAACAACTAGGAAGGGAGTGTGTGTCAAGCCCAGGGAAAATGAAGTTACAATCCCATAGAATGTTATTTGAGAGGGGTTCAGTGGTGAAGTTGTCCAGGGAGCAGTCTTAAGTATAAATCTGAAACTCAGAAGAGAGTTCACAACCATAGATGTAAATTTTAGAGCCTTTGCTCATTCAGTGGACAAATATTTATTAGACTCGTATTCTGACAGGCATTAGTGATACATAAAGTGATAAACAAGACAAAGCTGTCATGAAGCTTGTCTATTTATTGTACCGGATATGATTTTAGATGGTGATAGGTACTCTGAAGAAAATAAAACAGAACATTTGATGAGAGATAAATGAGGGATGAATGGGATGGTTCAGTGCTTACTTATCTAACTTTATTAAGGAAAAAGTTTTAAAAATCTTTCAATTTTGTGTGTGTGTATATATATATACATATTGTGTGTGTATATATATATATACATATTGTGTGTGTATATATATATATATATATATTAGCATAGTTATTGATAAAGTACTTATTTGGCATGTATTCTTTGCCAAGAACTGTGCTGAGCATTGGGCAGGGAACAGGGGATAAAGGAGATAGGTTTCCTCTAAAGCTCATTGTATTATGGGGTAGACATATGGGGAAGACATTATTATTCATAAATGAATAATAATAAAGGAATGATTATCACAAATATTTAAAGAAAAGTATAAGTTGCTATGCAATCATTTAAGAAATACCTGGTGGACCTTTGTGGTTTATCTCTCCAGGACTCATTTGGTCCATTTCCTATAATCCCAGTTTGGGTTTGGATTTGGGCTTAGTGACACATCCTATACATAACTCTCAGCATCAGGGGAGACTCAGTCCTGCCTGGCCAATCAGAACATTACTTTTCCATAGCACCAAAGATTGGTTTTAAAATAGGATTATGCCTGGAGCCAAGTCATCCAAACCAATAAAACTAAACTTTTGGAGAAGTAAATCCATTCTTCCTATTTTATTTGAATATAAAAGAGGAAGCTGGAGCTGTTGCAGATATCTTGACACCATGAAATATAAGCTTCTCTGAGGATAGAGCCAGCATGGAAAGGATGAGACAAAGAGTTGGTAAGAGAAGTAAGTCTTAATACCTTTCAAGACCAGAATCAAGCCTTAAACTCTGGACTTTGTAGTTACCTGGGCCTGCTTGGGTTGTTACATATGACCAAGATGATTTGGAACATAAATGAGTCAGGGAAAGTTTTCTTAGGGAAGGGACATATAACATGAGACTTGAGAGATGAGTAGGAATTAAGCTGACTAGAAAAGTGGTGACAGAGGAAAGAGCATGTGTGTGCCCAAGGGCCTCAAGCAGTGGAAGCAGCAGAATGTGGGAGGAACAAAGGGAGGCCTGAATGCAGAGAGGACAGATCACTAAAAGAAAATGAGACCCTTTCCATACAGAAGGTTTCAAATGTGTTAAAAATAAAGAGAACAGAATAATGAGTATTCTTGTACCCATCATTCAGCATCAACTGTTATT